CAAAACATCTGCTGAACAGTAGAAGTATTTCTCTTGTTGTTTACTTGCATTATGTAGTTATTGTGCCAAATTTCTTTTTTCCAACCATGGGTCTTAAGAAAGTAAGTGCAAAGGACAGTGCTGAGAAGAAAAAAAGGATGATGTCCATGGAATTAAAGCATGAAATCATAGATAAACACTCCGTTTTCAGAAGGGAAAGAATGGGAAGATATAGTCAGTGCAGAAGCTGAGGCACCGCCACCACTCGCCATATTATGGCCTATTTTATTCATTCTAGAGTATATATCATGTTTTTTATGTTATTTATATTGTTTATTATGTCATATTAGATCAATTATGATAGATAAATAAGCCGTAGAGTTGATATTACCGTTATATTAAGTATTTTGTCCTGCCTCCCGAGAGCAGGAATTCCGCTGAAACGGATTAATGGCATTTCAGTTAATTTAACCCCCTCAAGGGAGGTTCCTTGATGCTGGTGAAGGGCTCTTGATCTAGGGAATTGGATCTGTGCTCCAGTTCCCTGAATTGAGCCCGAATACCTTCCATCCCCCCACATGCTTTGTATAATCCTGTAGGTTTAGCGCTACCCCATGATTATAATTATCAGTTAACTTAAATGAAGAAAATTAATTTGATATACGAGCAAATTGAGTTACGAGCTAGGTCATGGAATGGATTAAACTCATAAGTTGAAGTTCCACTGTATCAAATCACTTTTTAGTTGTAGCTACAGTGAGAGTAAAAGGTAGATGGGATACAAGGAAAATGGAAGCAGCAAGTAAGAGAGAGGTGAAGGTTTATAAACTAAAGGAGGGGGCAGTTAGGGTAAGATATAAACAACTATGGGAGGATAGATTGGCTAGTGAGTGTACAGGCAATTGGGTGGAAAATGTATGGGGTAGGTTTAAGAATATCGTGTTAAGAGTGTTCAGCAGAAGTTTGTGGTTACAGGAAAGTGGGTGCATTAGGGAGGAAGAGCAACTGATGGAATGATGATGTAAAGAGTGTAGTAAGTGTGATTTTTTTTACAAAGTAGACATGATGCAAGGAGGGAGGGGTATATGGAGAGAAAAATCTGAGAGGTTAAGAGAGAAGCAAAACAGTGTAAAAACAGAGAAATGAGAGCCTGGGCAAGATGTTATCAACATATTTTGTTGAAAATAAAAAAAAGTTTTGGAGTGAGATTAATAAGTTGAGAAACCCTAGGGAACGAATGGATTTGATAGTTAAAAATAGGAGAGGAGAGTTATTAAATGGAGAATTAGAGGTATCAGGAAGATGGAGGGAATATTTTGAGGAATTGTTAAATATTGATGAAGATAAGGAAGCTGTGATTGCAGAATAACATCTTGTAGGAGTGAGGAAGAGCCAGTTGTGAGTGTGGGGGAAGTTCGTGAGGCAGTGGGTAGAATGAAAGGGGTAAGGCAGCTGGGATTGATGTGATAAAGTTAGAAATGTTAACAGCAGGTGGGGATATAGTTTTGGAGTGGTTGGTGCTTTTAGTATTTAATAAATGTATGGAAGAGGGTAAGATACCTAGGGATTGGCAGAGAGCATGTGTAGTTCCTTTGTATAAAAGCAAAGGAGACAAAAGAAAGTGCAAAAATTATAAGGGAATAAGTCTGCTGACTATACCTGGTAAAGTTTATGGTAGAGTTATTAATGAAAGAATTAAGAGTAAGATGGAGAGTAGGATAGCAGATGAACAAGGAGGTTTTAGGAAAGGTAGGGGGTGTGTGGACCAGGTGTTTACAGTGAAACATATACATGAACAGTATATAGATTTAGGACGTTGCTTAAAAATCATCTCATATCTCAATACAGTGGACCCCCGGTTTATGATATTATTTCATTCCAGAAGTATGTTCAGGTGCCAGTACTGACCGAATTTGTTCCCATAAGGAATATTGTGAATTAGATTAGTCCATTTCAGACCCCCAAACATACACATACAAACGCACTTACATAAATACACTTACATAATTGGTCGCATTGGGAGCTGATCGTAAACCGGGGGTCCACTGTACTAACCAAACGAACCAGAACAACTTCTAATCAGTTTGAAGTAACTCTCCCAAATATTATATTATATTCTATGACTAGTCTATTAAACATCTGCCAACCCATGAAATATTATTGTTTGGAGCATTGTTTTTATTATGTACAACTTCAAGATTATTATTCTTATGAACCTCCACCTGGACTACCTCACATTAGTATTAAAATGAAATAAAGATTTTAATACAAGTTAACCACTCTTATCTTCTCTAGATTTAATTAGTTATTATGTACTAGACTCAGTCTGCCTGAACTGCCCGGGCTTGATAGTGACTTTCTTTGTATTTAGCAAACCAAAATTGTAATTATACATTGTAACCTTTACAAAGAAATACAGTGGACCCCCGCATAACGCTATTAATCCGTTCCTGAGAGCTCAGTGTTATGCGAAATTATCATTATGCGAATTAATTTTCCCCATAAGAAATAATGGAAATCAAATTAAGCCGTGCAAGACACCCAAAAGTATGAAAAAAAAAATTTTACCACATGAAATATTAATTAATACACACAAACTTAAGAAAACATGCACAGTTACACGACACTTACCTTCATTGAAGATGTGGTGATGATTGATGGGATGGGAGGAGGGGAGACTGGATGGTTTTAGTGTTTAGAAGGGGAATCCCCTTCCATTAGGACTTGAGGTGTCAAGTCCTTTTCCGGGGTTGCTTCCCTTCTTCTTTTAATGCCACTAGGACCAGCTTCAGAGTCACTGGACTTCTGTCGCACAACATATCTGCCCATAGTGGCCTGTACCTCTTGTTCTTTTATGACTTTCCTAAAGTGTTTCACAACAGTGTCAGTGTAATAGTCACCAGCACGGCTTGCAATAGCTGTCTGAGGGAGATTTTCATCAATGAAGGTTCGCACTTCAATCCACTTTGCACAGATTTGCTTAATCTTTGAAGTAGGCAACTTCTCTCTCCCCTCCTCCGAAGCAATTTCCTCAGGTGTGGCCTCTTGCTGTTGAAGTTGATCTAGCAGCTCATCAGTGGTTAGTTCTTCATTGTCCTCCTCCACCAACTCTTCCACATCCTCCCCACTAACCTCCAACCCCAAGGACTTTCCCAATGCCACAATGGATTCCTCAACTGGCATACTCCTTTCAGGGTTAGCCTGAAACCCTTCAAAATCCCTTTGGTCTACACATTCTGGCCACAGTTTCTTCCAAGCAGAGTTCAAGGTCCTCTTAGTCACTCCCTCCCAAGCCTTACCTATAAGGTTTACACAATTGGGATATTAAAGTGCTCTCTCCAAAATTTCCTTTAGAGTAAATTTGAGTTTGAGGTCACTACAAAGCACCTTTCAAACAGACTTTTGTGTACAGTTTTTTGAAGTTTGCAATAACCTGCTGGTCCATGGGCTGCAGGAGAGGAGTGGTATTAGGAGGCAAAAACTTCACCTAATGAAGCTCATGTCCCCACAAAGTCACTCGGCCAAGTCTGTAGGATGACCAGGGGCTTTGTCTAACACCAGGAGCACTTAAGGTCTAATTTCTTTTCAGTTGGGTAATTTTTCACAGTGGGGGCAAATGCTGGTGTAACCAGCCATAGAAAATTTCCCTAGTGACCCATGCCTTATTGTTTGCCCTCCACAGCACACACAAATTAGCCTTGAGGATATTCTTTTGCCTGAATGCTCTGGGAGTTTCAGAGTGATACACTAATAAAGGCTTCACTTTGCAATCACCACTAGCATTGGCACACATGAGAAGGTAAGCCTGTTTTTCATAGGCTTATGTCCTGGGAAATGCATTTTCCTCCTGAGTAATGTAGGTCCGCTTTGGGATTTTCTTCCAAAACAGGCCTGTTTTGTTACAATTTAAAAACTTGTTCAGGTTTCAGTCCTTCACTGTCTATGTACTCCTTGAATTCATGCAATATTTTTCAGCTGCTTTTTGGTCCGAACTGGCAGCCTCACCATGCCTTAAACACACTATGTATGCCACTACGCCTCTTAAATCTCTCAACCAACCTTTGCTGGGCCCTTTAAATTCACTCGCATCACCACTAGTTGCAGGCATTTTTCTAATTAAATCCTTGTGAACTTCCCAGCCTTTTCACTTACGATCGCTTGAGAGGTGCTATCGCCTGCTATCTGTTTTTCGTTTATCCACAAACCCAAAAAACACTCTCTCAACATCTTCTATCACTTGCGATCTCTGTTTCGAAAGCACAGTTAAACCTTTGGCAAGAACAGCTTCCTTGATTGCTGTTCTCTTGGACACAATAGAAGCGATGGTTGATTGGGTTTACTATACAAACCCGGCCAGCTCGGAGACACGCCCTCCACTTTCATACTTAGCCCAAAGATCTCTTTCTTCATCTCCATAGTAATTCTCACCCTTATTCCTGTAGGGTTGGCACTAGAAGCTTTCTTGGGGGCCCATGGTCACTTATTTTTCAGGTGAAATCACTATAAAAAGGCTGTAATAATACGAAATGTTCCGATTGTATGCTTGAATGTTACCGCGGAGGCTGGCTTGTAAACAATGCCACTGGCAGAACAAGTGAGGCTTGCTCAGGCCGCATGGACGTGTCTCGGACGAATCGCGTTGAGCGAATTTTTTAGCACTATGCGAGGCAAAATTTTAGCGATAAAATGTATCGCTATGCGGATTTAACACTATGCAATGCCAACGTTATGCGGGGGTCCACTGTAAAACCTTTATCTCTGTTTTAAAAAGCACCAGCCCCATCCTACCAAGGTAGGGCGACCTAAATAGAAAAAATGAAAGTTTTTCTTTTTAAATTTAGTTATTTATACAGGAGAAGAGATTACTAGCTCCTTGCTCCCAGCATTTTAGTTGCCTCTTATGACATGTATGGTTACAGAGTAAGAAATCTTTTCCACTTCCCCATGGAAAGAGCATACATGTATATGAATGCATTTATTATTACAGACTGAATTGTAACAACTATCTTTTCTTCATTCAGGTGAAAGATGACATGTTAAAACAACCACAGGAGGACAAAATGGTAGAATTTGTATGGCATCACTTCCTGAGGCTCTTGGGCCAGAGTGGACTGCGAAGTTCACGTCCTGTGCTGAAGCCTAAAGTTGAGGTTGTTAATGAGGAGGAATCGGAAAACAATGTGACTGTTGAAGAGTTCCCAGATAAAATTAACAGGTAAGGTTTCTTAATAATAACTGAAATGAAACTTGTTACCTTGATAAATGTTATTTTAATATGTATATACAGTGGACCCCTGAGTTTCGTGATTAATCCGTTCCAGAGACTCTGCCGAAAGCCGGAATTCACGAATGTCGAAACCATTTTCCCCATAAGAAATAATGTAAATTCAATTAATCCGTTCCAGACACCCAAAAGTATTAACAAAAATTATATTTTATAGATTAAATACAGATTTACATACAGGAAAGAATGAGAAATCAAGTAAAAAGTAATAATAATGTCACACTTACCTTTATTGAAGACTCTTGTTGGTGTATGGAAGACGGGAGGAGGGGAGAGGATGGAGAAGTCACTGGACCCCTGTCATACAAAAAAACTCTCCAGAGAGCTCTTGCAGCTCTACCCTCTACCACCATCACAATCACTACCACCCTCTACCACCATCACTACCACCCTCTACCACCATCACTACCACCCTCTACCACCATCATTACCACCCTCTACCACCATCATTACCACCCTCTACCACCATCACTACTACCCTCTACCACCATCACTACCACCCTCTACCACCATCACTACCACCTTCTACCACCATCACTACCACCTTCTACCACGATTACAACCGCTGCCACCCTCTACCACCACCACTTTCATATTTTTCTTCAAATTTTTCTTTAATTCTATCGTGTGTCTCACCTTTACCAAAGGGCTGGCATTAGAAGCTTTTTTTGGGCCCATGGTGGCTTATTTAGCAGTTGCAAGCACAAAAAAGAATGGATTATTACGAAATGCATTATATGAATGTGTGGGGTGATGGTCACTCACCCACAAACAATACCACACTGACTCCTGAATGTTGTGTGGGAGCCTTTGTGTACGCCCAGCCGCTCCCGGCTGCACGGACACGTTCCATACAATGGACAAATTGTGAGGAAATTCACGAACCACGAGGCTTTATTTTGATGAAAAAAGTTGCCAAAAGTCAAAATTTACGAAGTGCGAGGCTCAGGAAACTCTGGGATACTCTGTATTTTAAAGTCATTAAGCAGTTATCACTAAATTCATAATTACCAAAAAGCATTTTGGATAGCAAATCTTTATTTTAGAGCTAATGTTGCTGATCATCATACTGTGACTCTTTAACCCTTTGAGGGTCGAGAGCCTCGATCCTGAACTCCCACTCAGGGTCAAAAAATATTTAAAAAAAAAATTATTTCAGAAACACTTCCACCATCATTTACATGTAATCACTGTCTTTGCTAAGGTGCCCAGATATGAGAGTTTAGATGTCACTCCAAACAATCAATATCTCAAACCCCTCCTTTAAAGTGCAGGCATTGTACTTCCCACTTCCAGGACTCAAATCTGGCTAACCAGTTTCCCTGAATCTCTTCACAAAATAATACCCTGCTTACATTCCAACAGCTCATCAGGTCCCAAAAACCATTTGTCTCCATTCACTCTTATCTAATACCCTCAGTTTCTTACGAATACTGTACGAAATTTTCCAAAATATATGTGTATTTATAAATGGTTTATATTTAAATATTTCACAAAATATCTGATCGAGAACCAAAACCTAGTCATTGTGGTAGTCTACAAGCTTCCGGATGCAACGTCCCAGCAATTCCAGGAACGTAAGTCAAAAATTGACCACTGTCTGGAAAATTTGCCAGCTCCTGCACTCAACATATTGCTCCTGGGGGATTTCAGCTTGAGGCACCTAAAATGGAGGAATATAGCAAATAATGTTGTTGCAGTGATAACACCAGGAGGCAGCTCTGACGAGAACTCACACACACACGAGCTTTTAAATCTCTGCACAAAATTCAACTTAAACCAGCAAATAATAGAGCCTACTAGACTGAAGAATACACTAGACCTCATCTTCACTAACAATGATAGTCTGATACGAAATGTCACCATATCAAAAACAATATACATGTACTCAGATCACAACATAATCGAGGTTCAGACATGTATGCACGGAGCCCCAGACCGACTGGGGCTCCGTGCATACATTAGTCACGAGGGAGCCTTCACCAAATTCAACTTCAATAACAAGAACATAAAGTGGGACCAAGTAAACCAAGTCCTAAACGATATAAGCTGGGAAGATAGACTAAGCAACACAGACTCCAACTTATGCCTAGAACAGATTAACTCGGTGGCACTCGATATACAGTGGACCCCCGCATACCGTCAGCATCACATAATGTTTAATCCGCATACCGCTCGCTTTTATCGCAAAAATTTTGCCTCGCATACCGCTCAAAAACCCGCTCACCGCTGTTCGTCCGAGACGCGTCCAATGTGCGCCCTTAGCCAGCCTCACTTGTGCCGCCGGTGGCATTGTTTACCAGCCAGCCTCCGCGGTAACATCCAAGCATACAATCGGAACATTTCGCATTATTACAGTGTTTTTGGTGATTTTATCTGCAAAATAAGTGACTATGGGCCCCAAGAAAACTTCTAGTGCCAACCCTACAGCAAGAAGGGTGAGAATTACTATAGAGATGAAGAAAGAGATCATTGATAAGTATGAAAGTGGAGTGCGTGTCACCGACCTGGTCAGGTTGTACAAGAAACCCAAATCAACCATCGCTACTATTGTGGGCAACAGAAAGGCAATCAAGGAAGCTGTTCTTGCTAAAGGTTTAACTGTGTTTTCGAAACAGAGATCGCAAGTGATGGAAGATGTTGAGAGACTTATTGGTGTGGATAAATGAAAAACAGCTAGCAGGAGATAGCGTCTCTCAAGCGATCATAAGCGAAAAGGCTAGGAAGTTGCATGAGGATTTAATTAAAAAAATGCCTGCAACTAGTGATGATGTGAGTGAATTTAAGGCCAGCAAAGGTTGGTTTGAGAGATTTAAGAAGCGTAGTGGCATACATAGTGTGATAAGGCATGGTGAGGCTGCCAGTTCGGACCACAAAGCAGCTGAAAAATATGTGCAGGAATTCAAGGAGTACATAAACAGTGAAGGACTGAAACTGAACAAGTGTTTAATTGTGATGAAACAGGCCTGTTTTGGAAGAAAATGCCAAGCAGGACCTACATTACTCAGGAGGAGAAAAGGCACTCCCAGGACATAAGCCTATGAAAGACAGGCTTACTTTGTTGATGTGTTCCAGTGCTACTGGTGATTGCAAAGTGAAGCCTTTATTAGTGTATCACTCTGAAACTCCCAGACCGTTCAGGCAAAAGAATGTCTCAAGGAGAATTTGTTGTGTGCTGTGGAGGGCAAACAGTAAGGCATGGGTCACTAGGGACTTTTTCGATGACTGGTTACACCATGCATTTGCCCCCAATGTGAAAGATTACCTAACTGAAAGAAATTAGAACTTAAGTGCCTCCTGGTGTTAGACAATGCCCCTGGTCATCCTACAGACGTGGCAAGAGCGACTTTATGGGGACATGAAATTCATTAAGGTGAAGTTTTTGCCTTCTAATACCACTCCTCTCCTGCGGGCCCATGGACCAGCAGGTTATTGAAAACTTCAAAAAAACTGTACACAAAAGCTCTGTTTGAAAGGTGCTTTGTAGTGACTCAGAAACTCAACTGATTTCTAAGGGAGAGTTTTGGGGGAGAGCACTTTAATATCCTCAATTGTGTAAACCTTATAGGTAAGGCTTGGGAGGGAGTGACTAAGAAGACCTTGAACTCTGCTTGGAAGAAACTGTGGCCAGAATGTGTAGACAAAAGGGATTTTGAAGGGTTTCAGGCTAACCCTGAGAGGAGTATGCCAGTTGAGGAATCCATTGTGGCATTGGGAAAGTCCTTGGGGCTGGAGGTTAGTGGGGAGGATGTGGAAGAGTTGGTGGAGGAGGACAATGAAGAACTAACCACTGATGAGCTGCTAGATCAACTTCAACAGCAAGAGGCCAGACCTGAGGAAACTGGTTCAGAGGAGGGGAGAGAGAAATTGAAGAAGTTGCCTACTACAAAGATTAAGCAAATCTGTGCAATGTGGCTGAAAGTGCAAACCTTTATGGATGAGAATCACCCTCACACAGCTATTGCAAGCCGTGTTGGCAACCTGTACACTGACAATGTTGTGAAACACTTTAGGGAAGTCATAAAGGAATGAGAGGTACAGGCCACTATGGACAGATATGTTGTGCAAAAGAAGTCCAGTGACTCTGAAGCTGGTTCTAGTGGCATTAAAAGAAGAAGGGAAGTAACCCCAGAAAAGGACTCGACACCTCAAGTCTTAATGGAAGGGGATTCCCCTTCTAAACACTAACACTCTCTCCCCTCCTCCCATCCCATCAATCATCACCAGATCTTCAATAAAAGTAAGTGTCATGTAATTGTGCATGCCTTTTTCAGTTTGTGTGTATTAAAATTAACATTTCATGTGGTAATTTTTTTTTTTTTTCATACTTTTGGGTGTCTTGCACGGATTAATTTGATTTCCATTATTTCTTATGGGGAAAATTCATTCGCATACCAATCATTTCGCATAACAATGAGCCCTCTTGCATGGATTAAAATCACTATGCGGGGGTCCCCTGTATGCTCAAGGCTTATTGCTTTAAGAAAAAGGAGGAGTAGATGTAAAATAGGAAGAGACAGGCGCTCCTTTTACAGGCAACGGAAAAGAATAACAGAGCAGCTAAAAGAGGCCAATATATCTGAAATGCGTAGGGAGTCACTGGTCAGAGAAATAGCAAACATCGAACTTAAGCTAAAGGAATGTTATAGGAGTCAGGAATCGTGGGAAGAACTAAAAGCCATAAATGAAATCGAAAGAAACCCAAAGTATTTCTTTTCTTATGCCAAATCAAAGTCGAGAACAACATCCAGTATTGGGCCCCTACTTAAACAAGATGGGTCCTACACAGATGACAGCAAGGAAATGAGTGAGCTACTCAAGACCCAATATGACTCAGTTTTTAGCAAGCCGCTAACCAGACTGACAGTCAAAGATCAAAATGAATTTTTTATGAGAGAGCCACAGAATTTGGTTAACACAAGCCTATCTGATATTATCCTGACACCAAATGACTTCGAACAGGCGATAAATGACGTGCCCATGCACTCTGCCCCAGGGCCAGACTAATGGAACTCCGTGTTCATCAAGAACTGCAAGAAGCCCCTATCACGAGCTTTTACCACCCTATGGAGAGGGAGCATGGACACGGGGGTCATCCCACAGTTACTAAAAACAACAGACATAGCCCCACTCCACAAAGGGGGCAGTAAAGCAATAGCAAAGAACTACAGATCGATAGCACTAACATCCCATATAAAAATCTTTGAAAGGGTCCTAAGAAGCAAGATCACCACCCATCTAGATACCCATCAATTACACAACCCAGGGCAACATGGGTTTAGATCAGGTCGCTCCTGTCTGTCTCAACTACTGGATCACTACGACAAGGTCCTAGATGCACTAGAAGACAAAAAGAATGCAGATGTAATATATACAGACTTTGCAAAAGCCTTCGACAAGTGTGACCACGGCGTAATAGCGCACAAAATGCGTGCTAAAGGAATAAAAGGAAAAGTTGGTAGATGGATCTATAATTTCCTCACAAACAGAACACAAAGAGTAGTAGTCAACAGAGTAAAGTCTGAGGCGGTTATAGTGAAAAGCTCTGTTCCACAAGGCACAGTACTCACTCCCATCTTGTTTCTCATCCTCATATCTGACATAGACTAGGATGTCAGCCACAGCACCATGTCTTCCTTTGCAGATGACACCCGAATCTGCATGACAGTGTCTTCCATTGCAGACACTGCAAGGCTCCAGGCAGACATCAACCAAATCTTTCAGTGGGCTGCAGAAAACAATATGAAGTTCAGCAATGAGAAATTTCAATTGCCTCGATATGGTAAACATGAGGAAATTAAAACTTCATCAGAGTACAAAACAAATTCTGGCCACAAAATAGAGCGAAAAACCAACGTCAAAGACCTGGGAGTGATCATGTCGGAGGATCTGACCTTCAAGGACCATAACATTGTATCAATCACATCTGCTAGAAAAATGACAGGATGGATAATGAGAACCTTCAAAACTAGGGATGCCAAGCCCATGATGACACTCTTCAGGCTGCTTGTTCTATCTAGGCCGGAATATTGCTGCACACTAACAGCACCTTTCAAGGCAGGTGAAATTGCTGACCTAGAAAATGTACAGAGAACCTTCACGGCGCGCATAATGGAGATAAAACACCTCAATTACTGGGAGCGCTTGAAGTTCCTGAACCTGTACTCCCTGGAATGCAGGCGGGAGAGATGCATGATTATATACACCTGGAAAATCCTAGAGGGACTAGTACCGAATTTGCACATGAAAATCACTTACAACGAAAGCAAAAGACTCGGCAGACGATGCAACATCCCCCAATGAAAAGCAGGGGTGTCACTAGCACGTTAAGAGACAATACAATAAGTGTCAGGGGCCTGAGACTGTTCAACTGCCTCCCAGCATACATAAGGGGGATTACCAATAGACCCTTGGCAGTCTTCAAGCAGGCACTGGACAACCTAAAGTCGGTACCTGACCAGCTGGGCTGTGGCTCGTACGTTGGATTGCATGCAGCCAGCAGTAACAGCCTGGTTGATCAGGCTCTGATCCACCATGAGGCCTGGTCACAGACCGGGCCGCGGGGGCGTTGACCCCCGGAACTCTCTCCAGGTAAACTCCAGGTAATATAGTTTGTAAGATCAATTAATCTTTCAACATTGTCCTTAAATGTTGAATGGCATGTTTCCTTGCAAATACTTTTCTGTTGGAATCACTATACTATAAATAAATACTGTTGTGGATCTGTAGTCTCTCAAAGTACCTCCGTCCAAAGCCCTTGCTGTATCTGTGCAGCTGTTCATCCAGTTATGATAATGACAATAACTTTATTTCTTGAGGAGATACAAAAAAGTTGCAGTAGTAGTTAATTACATGTACTGTATATTTCTTTTAAGGAAAAACCTGCTAGACTTCTTTTTTTTTTTTTTTTTTTTTTTGAGGGGGGGGGGAGTTGTAAGAACAGTGGACATTTTTAATATGTATTTTTATGCTGGTGCATAACAGCTTCAGCATTTGACCAATGTTCATCCTTTTATGTTTGTGTGTTTTCACAGATTCTTGGATTATGTGAATTCAGCATACTTTGATGGCAGTCTTGATGTGAGCAGCAAAGAGGCCCTGAAATCCTCCATGTACAAAAGTTCTACACATCGTCAAAACAGTGGGATTCCCAGTGAAAGGTATACTAATGGTTGCAAGAATAATGGATGGAGTATTTAAAGTCTTGCTATATAAAGTATTAAAGTAAATAATTCATATTTTTCATAATTTCAGGCAAAAATAAGAGGAGTATTAAGCAGTCTGGGCTCACTACACCTTCCTGCACAGTGACTGGCTTTAACTCCTTCATCTTAGTAACTCTAGCTACCAACATTTCTTCAAGTTTGTAAATGCAGAAATCATAATATTTAACATAAGTTATAAAAGTCTTCATTATTTCTTGTATATTGTATTGACATTGAAACTTTTTATATTATATATAACCAAGTCTCCCTCACTTTATGTGCTCAGTGAACACTGAACCCATTATAACATTTAAAACATTGAGATTCATTTTGAAACTTTGCAAAGTCTACATTTTTTGACTAATGTTTTCCCCAACAAACACGAGCTTACCAAACATCCACTAAATGGTCACACACAAAAAAATATATTTAGTTGACCAAGCAAGCACCAGATAAATCTGACCCAAGGCTGGACTTCTGGAGTAGAAAAATTCTCTGAACTCTACTTGAATAACCCGCACTTAGGTGACTGAAACTTATGATGCATTTCAGTTTGACTTGGACCATTAATGGTATAACTGAGAAAAAAATTTAATTTAAAATTCAATCATAATCTTATGCAATACAAAACCAGGAAAAAAGATGTATACTTTCTTTTATTTGCTTTTACTAAAAAAATTATGAGCACGTCAGATTGGCAATAAATAGCTCTATACTGTACCAAAAATATTTACAACTGGTCAAAAAAATTTATAAAAAATTTAATTCAGAATTCAATCATATTCCTCCTCCCTTAACTCTTGACTCTTCTCTCCAACACCAACCAACCATCTTCTCTTTGAACTGAAGTGCTCACATTATGAATGAGTGACTACATTTCTCCTTACTATTTCCTTCCTCTTTCCATCCCTTGATCCTGAATTAATGACCCTTGTGGGTTTAGCACTTTAGTGTGATTATAATAATAATAATAATGTCTCACCATAACCCAACCTCATCTGGCCAGGTGTCCGCTTTCTTTTCCACCAGAAGTGAACCCCTGTGGGTTTGGCAGTCCTTCATAAATGTAATAATTTGCATAACCTGGGGCTTTTCAGAATATATGAAGATAATGTGACCTAACTTTGTTACAGTAGTACAATTTTATAATAAATTTTTTGTTTGTCTATATTGTCTGACTCTTTGCCCATGTATATGCAGATTGAAAACATTAAAATTAAAAAAAAAAATTGATTATGTTTGTAGGGAGATTTTCCATTGTTTGAAAACATTTATGTGGCTGCTGCTGCATCTTAAGCAGTAATGTGATATGTACCTTATGAAGTGCCTTATCCTACTTGTATTTTCTGTTGTACATTATGTTGTATGGAGGTCTCAGTCCTCTCTCTACTAATCATAGCTTGGTCTCTGACTGATCAGGAGTTGGTAATTCTTTACTGCACAGATTTAGAAAAAAAAATGATCGACTCTTGACTGTGAACGTGTATTTTCATATAAGGCATGTATTTGAGTACGAAGTTTATTAAAGAACCAAAAGGCACAATACTCGCACATAGGAGAGAGAAGCGTATGACCACATTTCAATCCAACTTGAACCATTTACAAAGTCAAACAGTGTGACTTCGTAAATGGTCCAAGTGTGACTGTAATGGTCCAAGTTGGACTGAACCATTGTTGTAAGCTTCTGTATTATGTGCAGGTTATTTGTGTACAGAGATTATTGCCTGCACTTATATTGCATGATAACAGTTGTATCAAAATATAATTAAATTGGCAATCTGAGTTTCATTGTAAACCTCTGTATTCCAGATCACTAATTCATTTCATTAATACATGTAGTGTGAAACATATCGATTGCAAGGGTGATAGTCAAAAGGTTAAACAGGCTCATTATGGCTAAGACGAGATGGGACTTACACAGATGACAGCAAAGAAATGAGAGATACTGAAGTCTCAATATGACTCGCCATTTAGTGAACCATTAACCAGACTTAGAAGAGTCGACAATCTAAATTATTTTTTTATGACCAAGACTCAAAATTTGGTTACTTAAAAAATATCTGCTATTATCCTAACACTACAAGAATTTGAAAAAGCAATAAATGACATACCCATGAACTCTGCTCCAGGCCCAGATTTGTGGAACTCTGTGTTCATCAAGAACAGCAAGAATCCCCTTTCATGTGGCTTAAGCATTCTATGGAGAGGGAGTATGGACATGGATCATCCCGAAATCACTAAACACAACAGATGTAACCCCACTCCACAAAGGCAGCAGTAAAGCAATTTTTTTTTTTTTTTCAACAAGTCGGCCGTCCCCCACCGAAGCAGGGTGACCCAAAAAAGAAAGAAAATCCCCAAAAAGAAAATACTTTCATCATCATTCAACACTTTCACCACACTCACACATTATCACTGTTTTTGCAGAGGTGCTCAGAATACAACAGTTTAGAAGCATATACGTATAAAGATACACAACATATCCCTCCAAACTGCCAATATCCCAAAACCCCTCCTTTAAAGTGCAGGCATTGTACTTCCCATTTCCAGGACTCAAGTCCGACTATATGAAAATAACCGGTTTCCCTGAATCCCTTCACTAAATATTACCCTGCTCACACTCAACAGATCGTCAGGTCCCAAGTATCATTTGTCTCCACTCCTATCTAACACGCTCATGCACGCTTGCTGGAAGTCCAAGCCCCTCGCCCACAAAACCTCCTTTACCCCCTCTTTCCAACCCTTTCGAGGACGACCCCTACCCCTCCTTCCTTCCCCTATAGATTTATATGCTTTCCATGTCATTCTACTTTGATCCATTCTCTCTAAATGACCAAACCACCTCAACAACCCCTCTTCTGCCCTCTGACTAATGCTTTTATTAACTCCACACTTCTTCTTCTTTCAACGTACCAGCCGTATCCCACTGAGGTGGGGTGGCCCAAAAGAAAAAACTGAAGTTTCTCCTTTTAAATTTAGTAATATATACAGGAGAGGGGTTACTAGCCCCTTGCTCCCGGCATTTTAGTCGCCTCTTACGACACGCATGGCTTACAGAGGAAGAATTCTGTTCCACTTCCCCATGGAGATAAGAGGAAATAAACAAGAACAAGAATTAGAAAGAAAATAGAAGAAAACCCAGAGGGGTGTGTATATATGCTTGTACATGTATGTGTAGTGTGACCTAAGTGTAAGTAGAAGTAGCAAGACTTACCTGTAATCTTGCATATTTATGAGACAGACAAAAGACACCAGCAATCCTACCATCATGTAAAACAATTACAGGCTTTTGTTTTACGCTCACTTGGCAGGACGGTGTACCTCCCTGGGTGGTTGCTGTCTACCAACCTACTACCCCTAATTACAGACCAATAATACTAATGTCCCACATCTTAAAAATCTTTGAGAGGGTTCTAAGAAGCAAAATTGCCACCCACTTAAATACCCATCAATTAAACAACCCAGGGCAGAATGTGTTTAGAGCAGGTCGTTCCAACTTCTCCCAACTGCTGGACCACTATGACATGGTCTTGGATGCTCTGGAGGACAAACAAAATGCAGATTCAGTATACACAGATTTTGCGAAAGCCTTCAAGAAGTGCGATCATGGTTTAATAGCACACAAAATGGTTGATAAACGAATAACAGAAAAAGTTGGTAGATGGATCTATAACTTCCTAGCAAATTGAACACAAAGATTATTATTATAATCAAGGGGGAAGCGCTAAACCCGTAGGATTATACAGCGCCCAGGGGGGGATGTGGAAGGCATTCAGGCTTAATTCAGGGAACTGGAGCACAGATTCAATTCCCTAAATCAAGAGCCCCTCACCAACATCAAGGAACCTTCCATGAGGGGAGAACACAAAGAGTAATAGTAAACAGAGTAAAGTCTGAGGCAACCACAGTGAAAAGTTCTGCTCCACAAGGTACAATACTCATTCCCATCCTGTTCCTCATCTTCATATCTAACAAAGACAGAGATGTAAGCCACAGCACCATGTCGACCACTGCAGATGACACCTAAATTTGCATGACAGTGTCATCCAACGAAGACACTGCAAGTCTCCAAGTGGACATCAACCAAATCTTTAAATGGACCACAGACAACAGTATGAAGTTCAGTGAAGACAAATTTTACTCCGCACTGGAAAGCTGGAGGAAATTGAAACTGAGTGTAAAATAAATTCCAACCACACAATAGAGCAAAGAGCTGATGTCAAGGATCTGGGAGTGATAATGTCAGAGGATCTCACTTTCGAAGATCACAATAATAATAATAATAATAATAATACCTTTATTTCTACAAGTACATGTAGAAGGTATACAGCTCTAGCTGACATCAATGACATAATACTACATAGAAAGCTGCTTGTTATGCAGAGCATTTCAGGCAAATTAGGACAGTTTTGTCCCAGGATGCGACCCACACCAGTTGACGAACACCCAGGTACCCATTTTTACTGAGGTGAACATGGACAACTGGTGTAAGGAAATACACACGATGTTTCCACCCTAGCCAGGAATCGAACCTGAACCCTCAGCGTGTGAAATAACAGCTTTTGCCACCAGGCCATGGGCCTCCGTGGACATTTTTACTGAGGTGAACATGGACAACTGGTGTAAGGAAATACACACGATGTTTCCACCCTAGCCAGGAATCGAACCTGAACCCTCAGCGTGTGAAATAACAGCTTTTGCCACCAGGCCATGGGCCTCCGTGGAATGCCACGCCAATTATAATTCTCTTCAAATCAGTTTTCTCTAGGCGGGAATATTGCTGTACACTAACAGGCCATTTCAAGGTAGGCAAAATTGCAGACCTGGAGAATATACAGAGAACTTTAACTGCTTGTATAAGCACTGTACCATAAAGCACCTAAATTACTGGGAATGGATGAAGGTCCTTGACCTGTACTTCTTGGAATGCAGGCAAGAAAGATACATGATAATATATACTTGGAAAATCCTAGAGGGACTATTCTCAAATATACACACAAAAAAATCATTTCATATCAAAACAAAAGACATGACGGGGGGGTGTAACCCCCCAATAAAAAGCAGGGGCGCCATGAGTACACTAAGAAAACACGATGAGTGTCAGAGGCCCAAGACTATTCAACTGCCTCCCAGCATAGATAAGGGAGGATTATTGGCACCAGACAGGCACCTAAAGTCAGTACCTGACCAGCTGGGCTGTGGTTTGTACGTTCATTTGCATACGGCCAGCAGTAACAGCCTGGTTGATGAGGCCCTGATCCACTGCAAGGCCTGATCACGGACCAGACTGCGGGGGTCAGTGCCCCCGCGGCCCAGTCTGTGACCAAGCCTCATGATGGATCAGGGCCTGATCAATCAGGCTGTTACTCTTGGCCACACTAAACCCGACGTACGAACCACAGCCCAGCTGGTTAGGTACTGACTTTAGGTGCCTGTCCAGCACCTTCTTGAAGACAGCCAGGGGTCGATTGGTAATCCCCCTCATGTATGCTGGGAGGCAGTTAAACAGTCTTGGGCCCCTGTCACTTATTGTGTTGTCTCTTATCATGCTGATGGTGCCCCTCCTCTTCATTGGGGGGATGCTGCATTGTCTGCCGAGTCTTTTGCTTTCATAGGGAGTGATTTTCGTGTGCAAGTTTGGTACTAATCCCTCTAGGATTTTGCAAGTGTATATAATCATGTATCTCTCCCGGATGTATTCTAGGGAGTACAGGTTGAGGAACTTCAAGCGTTCCCAGTAATTGAGGTGTTTTATCGCAGTTATGTGCCATGAAGGTTCTCTACATTTACTAGGTCAGCAATTTCACCAGACTTGAAAGATGCTGTTAGTGTGCAGCAGTATTCCAGCCTAGATAGAACATTGTTACGGCCTCCTAGCAAAATGTTGGTTAGATCATTAACCTGCCGGCCTGCAGTACCACTTGGAATGTCATCACACGCAATGTTGGGGCTGGCCTTCCTCAGTTCCTCGAAGGCTTCTGTTACCTGCAGGCCTCACCTAGTCTGCATATAGTTGCAGACTCAGTGATCTGTGGGTCTCTCTCTGGCCTCAGTCTGTTAACTTCAGTTCCTCGCAGCCTTCTATTACTCGCAGACATTAGTGACCTGCTGACCTCAGTTCCTCGCTGGCCTCATTGGTCGCTTACCGCATACTGAGAACTGTATGACAGAAGCGTCGTGGACCGTAAGGGTGTAGTGTAAACCCGGAGTGTTGTAGTGTCACGACACGGAGAAAAGGAAGTATGGAGGCGGAGTGTTATGACACAGAGAAAAGGCAGTTTTGTGGATGTACCACAGAGAATGTGTCATGGAAGACAGAGAATAGGTGGTGTCATGGGACATGAAGATGGAGTGTCATAATACAGGGATAAGGAAGTGTCATGTGACACTGGACACTATAGTGTAATTGGTATTTGATTGAAAAATAATGTTGTAAATATATCATATTTTGTATGTAATATACGTATATACCAAAGAGAAGAGTAAGAGTTAGACCCCTTATTTTTATGCCAAACCATTTTTCTAGTAAAGATTATAAATATTAGTGATATTTTGTAATCCAAATTATCTCATGTTACAACACTGGTAACAGGCCAATTATAGAAAATAAATTTCTTAACACTCTACCTGTGTGGAGATGTTGTGAGAGACACCAGTGTTTGTAATAAACGTGTTACCTGAAGAGTGTCATCATGGGCATGGCATCCCTAGTTTTGAAGTTCTCTGTGAGGGAAAAGTTCAATAGTGGAGTAGCGAGAAAGTATATAGTAACAATAG